TTTTATCTGTTGTATACCAACAATTGCTCTCTACTATCTGTACTTTAATAACAAAGATAGTTATGATGCCCGCTATCCGTATAAAACGATCTTAGTGTCCAAAAACCCACACTAATGCATTGTATGATGCTTTGGTTGATGTTGTGGTATACTTAGTGATGAGAGTAGATGGTGCATGCCTGATAAGGTCTGATTATCTAATACTCTTTTCACACTGGTTTTGCTTAACCCCGTACTTTGCTTAGCCCCGTACTATCCTTAACCCCGGACTATTTTTTTGGCTTTTCACACTCGCTGTTTTTAGTCCCGTACTAGCGCCTATTCCGGAATAAGAAAATTCCCGCTGTTCTCACTGCATTTCGTTAACCCCGGATATCGTGTATGTTATGATTGGACATACCTCGCATCTGGCCAGCTGCGATACGCTCCATTGCGTAGTACCGGACGATTTTTCGTTTCTGTTCTCATTCATTTGCTTAGCACCGCAATTGCGGGGTTAGCAGGAGTTAGCACCACAATTGCGGAGTTAGCCTTGCTATTTTGCAGGGTTAGTTAACCCCGTACTATAGGTGGGGTTAGCCAACTTTAGCCCACTTTGGTAAAAACCAGTCTGAACAGAAAGTGGAATAGGCTTAAACCCGTACTATAGGTGGGGCTAAGTCCCCCCCCCCCCTTAACCCCACCTATAGTACGGGGTTAAGCAAAATATTGCCAGTGTGAAAACAGTATAAGCCTTGGGATGAAGTAGGAATCAATATAGTGTGCTGCCATTCAGTGTGCTGCCATCCAGTGCGCTGCCATCCAGTGCGCTGCCATCCAGTGCGCTGCCATCCAGTGCGCTGCCATCCAGTGCCCTGCCATCCAGTGTGCTGCCATCCAGTGTGTACTGCTGCTTACTAATCAGCACTAATCAACCTTACCCTCACAGCACAATGATGAAGGATGGCTGGCCTACACCAGTAGGGTAGCTTACATGTACCCTCACAGCACAATGATGAAGGATGGCTGGCCTACACCAGTAGGGTAGCTTACATGTACCCTCACAGCACAATAATGATGAATGGCTGGCCTACACCAGTAGGGTAGCTTACATGTACCCTCACAGCACAATGATGAAGGATGGCTGGCCTACACCAGTAGGGTAGCTTACATGTACCCTCACAGCACAATGATGATGAATGGCTGGCCTACACCAGTAGGGTAGCTTACATGTACCCTCACAGCACAATGATGAAGGATGGCTGGCCTACACTAGTAGGGTAGCTTACATGTACCCTCACAGCACAATGATGAAGGATGGCTGTCCTACACCAGTAGGGTAGCTTACATGTACCCTCACAGCACAATGATGAAGGATGGCTGTCCTACACCAGTAGGGTAGCTTACATGTACCCTCACAGCACAATGATGATGAATGGCTGGCCTACACCAGTAGGGTAGCTTATATGTACCCTCACAGCACAATGATGAAGGATGGCTGTCCTACACCAGTAGGGTAGCTTACATGTACCCTCACAGCACAATGATGATGAATGGCTGTCCTACAACAGTAGGGTAGCTTACATGTACCCTCACAGCACAATGATGATGAATGGCTGTCCTACAACAGTAGGGTAGCTTGTATTACCTTCACAGCACAATGGTGAAGGATATATTATGGCCTACACCAGTATGGGCTTTACATGTCTGTAGTTGCTTTAAAAGGAAATTATATTTCTCTCCTTTTCTTATAAATATCCATTTTGAAACAGAAAGGCTGTCAGTATTATATCATATTTTTCTTGTGCAAAATTTCATTTGGTGATGAGAATGTTATTATTAGTCTAGGAATTGCATTTCTAAACCCTTGGAGATATGTATTTTTTCAAAGAAATTTTGCCTTCTCAAAAAAACATTGTCGCCTGATGTAAGAAGGGGATGAACAGAGGGAAATTTAATGCAAGAGAGACGGACAGACATTCAGATGAAGTACATGTAGCTAGGAGGGATCTAATATAATGTGAAATCAGATAAAAGGCAGATGAAAGGCAGATGAAAAGCTGCTTTTCTTTTGGATGGTTTTCTTAGACATGAAATAAAAGTACACAAAAAATGACTGCTAGTGGAAAGCAAGTTTTTTTTACCTGCCCTTGTCTACTTATTGAGAAATAAGTGGAAAAACAGGCAGATCTTGATTTGTGTCATGGTACATGTATTGTATGATACATTGTGTCATGGTACATGTATCGTATGATACATTGTCTCAGTGATGTGGGAGAGCAGATGGTGACATGTGAAGGGACACTTGGATTTTTTATGATCTGATGATTATCAAATTAATAACTAACATTATTGGATTCTTCATTCCATTTAAATGTCAAGTTGTAACAGTTGTCATCTGGATTTACATGTATATGTTCTGAAAAGACTTTTAAACATGGTAAAAAACATACTAAACATTTTAATATTTTTAGTATCTGCCCACAAGAAGGACAATAATATGAATTTTTGTTTTGTAACTTACAAAATCAACGGTGTGAAATGAATATTCTGATGCAGAGCTCTGGATGTAAGATGACATTTCTATATCATCAATGTATTCACTTACGTATGTAATGATATCTACCCTTTACTCAAGACTTTTGCTTTGATATGTCGAAGTGTTACACACGTACACAGAAATGCAAGGTAATGCTCTTTTGAATGCTCAGTTTTGAGTAAAGAAGGTGAAAATCATCTTCAGTCATTACTGCTTTAATTGGACCATTTCCTATGTTAAGCATTGAGGTCAACAGCTCAATGAACTTGTGTCATTTACAGTTACCAGGTCATACTTCATCTCCTTATTATTGGCCTTCAAGAGGAAATGGATTGTGGCTGGTACCAGGATAATACTCATCTTACTTGGAAGATGTGCAACATCACCCTTCTTTAATCAGCCAAAATCGTGTTTAATGATATCTACTGAAATGAATTTATTCACTAGATATGTCTCAATGCCTAAAATACCTTCCTATTGAAATAAATTCATACTTGTATATCAAACATGATTATGACCAAAAACCACTCTACTCTTCATATCTGGATTACATACAGGCAAAATCTAAAAGCATTTGTGTTTGGAATATTTACTCTCCATTTCTAAATATATCCCAAGTGGAATCAGTATTGTTGTATTTATATATATAACAGACAATAAGTTTTTCCCTTCTATTTTAGAAAAGTGTGCTTTGTAGATGGGCAGGTCCAAGCTATTTGGATTGTGACGTACGGGACATTTAGAGACTTTAAACAAGAAATAACAACAGATGAAATTATTTATATGGTTATCTTTTGGTATGAGTCTGTGGCTATTATGGGCTAGTTCATTTGTGGAAAGTTTTAGTTCTGACCAATTTTTAAATTAATTTTAAATGTAATTAATGTGCTGCGTGATGTACAGGACCACAGCTCATACCAAAAGATAGCCATATAAATAATTTCATCTGTTGTTATTTCTTGTTTAAAGTCTCTAAATGTCCCGTACGTCACAATCCAAATAGCTTGGACCTGCCCAGATACATGTACCCTATGATATTAATTATTTCTTGACCCATCTACATGTATACGGAGAATTGACATTTCATTTTCAAATGCATTATACTTGCATAATGTTGCCTTTATTACCCCTGCTGCAATGGAGCTACATACTCACATAATGTTGCCCATATTACCCATGCTGCAATGGAGCTACATACTCACATAATGTTGCCTACCGGTATATTACCCCTGCTCCAATGGAGCTACATACTCACATAATGTTGCCCATATTACCCCTGCTGCAATGGAGCTACATACTCACATAATGTTGCCCATATTACCCCTGCTGCATTGGAGCTACATACATAATGTTGCCTACCTCTATATTACCCCTGCTGCAATGGAGCTACATGTACTTTCATTTCTTAAATCGGAGGTAGAGTGCAAGGATCAGTAGCTTGTATGAGCTCCCTTCATCCTCTCTCTAGGTGGGTGCCTCTCATAGGGGCTCTGTACCTAATGGTTCATGACTATATCATCAATATTATGTGTGGTTGGTTACTTTTTAGATTGGGGGAGAAAATGAGACACACTCGCCTGTTCTTAATGGAAGTGCAATACATCTGTAAATCTCATCAAGATGGTGTCATTTTCAACCTCTAATCTCTTATTGAGAAAAAAAACTGGGTCATATAGCAGTGTTGGACTGTAAGGAACTGGGGCACATGCCTTCCCTGTTTACCCAGTAAAACTGATTTTGTATTTTTTAATTTGCCTGTTGAAATTCAGACGTGGTTGTTGGATATACTCCCCCCCCCCCCCCCCCCCACACACCCCTCATTTTGAGATCTTTGACAAAAATTCACATTTGCAAAGCATTAATTGAGCATGTAGGAGCCTTACTTTGCAGCTCTGGTAAAAAGTTCACCCTGATCTGTTTATACTGTATTTGAGCTATTGACAATATGGAATGTGTACTCCAGTTTTAAATATATTGAGTATGGAACATATTTTTAATGGTACATGTATGCCATCTATATGGCCATAATGTGACTCAGTGCATAAAAATAATGATGATAAGGATGATAATGGTGATATAGACAACTTTACTTTTTCTATGTAGCACACTTTCAGTTAAAAGTAACTTGTTAAAATGTTTCACAGTATTTTATCAATTGGTCATTGAGTGTAGTAATGAATCTGCACTTAAATTGCCCATCCTCAACCTGATTGGAAACCTTCTAGCCAGTTGGAATTTGATAAACACACCCTGTGCTAATTATTGAAAATTCACCAAATTCACACAAATTTTGTAAACAAAGGTGATTTTCATGAAAAGAAACTTTCATGAATTCCAATATTTTGGTGTTGTGTCAAGTTTTTTCATTCACTCACAAATTTCATGAAACATTTCATATGCTCAAAAGTTTTTATTTTTTTACAATATTAAATACAATGGAATGTTTGAAAGTGGAATCTTGTTTATTGTCTTTGTAATACAGGACACCGCAGGCCAAGAGAGGTACCGTACTATCACCACAGCCTACTACAGAGGAGCTATGGGTTTCATCCTTATGTATGATGTCACAAATGAGGAATCATTCAACAGCGTACAGGACTGGTAGGTCTTCCATATACCATTCATTGAGAACCAGGGCAGCCTCTCAAGAAACCATCATAAGTACAAGTTCAGTGACATCCCATTGAAATGCGTGTAATAAGTTTAACACGCCTTTCAATGGGATGTGGGTGAACTTGTACTTATGACGGTTTCATGAAACGCTACCGAGAAAGACACTAACTCATATGGCTTTGTATCATGTCATTGAGATTCAGAAAGACACTAACTCATATGGCTTTACACAGTGTTAACCTCCTTATGCTTTCCAGAAGATGATGCCATATAAGGGCTATTCTCAATCATTTTAATGTTGGCAAGTATCAAAATATAGAGTTATCACCAACAGTTATAGCCCCTTTAAACTTCCAGTGACTTACATCTCATATTAGCTCCTAGGTAATGATAATGATACTAGCAAACATACAAGCAGACCTGAGAAGTGGTTAGGTATCTAAACTAGTCTGGATTACTTGCTTGATTTCTGTCATCATTCTTTCCTCTAGGTTTCACAAATTACTCTGCCTTTCACATTTTTATTTATTACTTTGCTTTTCACATTGTTATATTTCTATGTTTTAAATTGTTTTGCCAGATATCATGTATTGTAGACATGAATGCCCCATGAAAGTTTGTTTCATCCAGTGAGCATATATATATTCTATTATTGTTTTTTAATTATTTTTTAGGTGCACACAAATCAAGACATACTCATGGGACAATGCCCAGGTGATCCTTGTTGGTAATAAATGTGACATGGAAGATGAAAGGGTCATCTCAACAGACAAGGGCAAACAACTCGCTGACCAACTAGGTAAGTACTCCTACCATCGTACATCAGTAACTATTCTGGTAATCTATAAACTATAAAGAATAGTACCACTTTTTGATGACGTGTTTGCAATATATATATTTTGAATACACAGATTACATGAAAGGAAAGAATAAGCACCTTTGAAAGTTTGAATTCTTTTCAGTTTTAATACATTATACAGCATTGATTAATAGTATTAGAATAAACAGTATGAACAGTAGGAAACACAAATTCTCCAGATTGGCAATGCTTTCATTGAATTATGTAAGTTTGATTTATTAAGGTACGCTCGAGGTATATTTTGCTTATAATTTGTGCAAATTTGAGGAGGGGAAGGTGGTTTGTTAAGTTCTTGTAACATTACATTCCTCTATGGGCTAAAGAAGAGACTTCTCTCCCCTTTCCTTTTCTTCTCTGCAAGTCAGTCTTTTCTATTTGTATTTGTTATTGTTGTTGTATCTAAGTTGAGGGCTGCGGGCACGTCAAGCTACTTTGCTTATTTCTGTAGCCCTCCTGCATCTAATGTATGTTAATTGTGCATTCAATATATTTGTTTAAATTCGTTCATTATCTGTATAAAATTATATACACTTAAAATATTGTATCAAACCATATTATGTTCATGAAAATGTATGATGTAAAAAGAAAAAAAAAGATGCAGAAACCAATAAATCAAAATCAAATCAAATCAAAATATAGAAGAGACTAAAAAATATATATAATAAAATGGAATGATAAACATGCTATGTAGGTACATGTAGCTAGTGAGGGATAGATGGTTTATCATGAGTTCATTTAATCAAGCTTTATCTCTCTGTAAAGACAAGGGTAAGCATTAGGAGACAGTTATTTCTTATAGAGATGAGTTGTAAATCAATGCAATGATATGCAACTCAACTTTAAACCAAACGATCAGTATTGAGGATTGATAGGAGTTGATTTTGAAGTTTGTTGTTTATCATAGAGCAACATTTTAGATTCCCCAGGGGTAATTGTCAGAAACACCTGGAAAATAGTTGTTTAATACAGGAGGTGGGAGGACACCCTGTTTAATACAAGCATTCTGTTTTAGTTTGAGAAAATTGCTTAATTTCTCTACTTCATCAAAGTTTGGACATTTCTGAGATAATCAATGTAATTTCTAAACACACTACAACAGATTTCATTTGAACCCGCAAATAACCTTTAATGAAAACGACAAAGCTTGCAGTATGTGTGTGTGTGTGACCGCCATGCATTGAGTCTTACTCAACTTGTCTATGATGGATCAATATTTTGCCAAGCTGAGCACTCGCAAGCGTGTTATATTGAGTATGACCCACATAATATAATATGTGTTGAAGTAATGAAGAGCTAGCGTGAATGAAAAAGCTTATATGCAGCACGACGGCATTTAATAAGATTAGAACCTTATGAGTCATAGGTAGGATTTAGAAATCCATATTTATGCTGTATCAGGTTAGAAACGGTTGTGATTTTCATAATGATTTAATCTGGGTGTAACAATGTGTATTCTTGTTTTCACAATTTTTTCACGATGGTATACTTTGTTTTTACACCTAAGAAATTTAGTTACAGTTTATTTAGACCATGGACTTAGGTTTTGTTTCAATATACCACACATCTCAGACCAATATCAGGATTCCTTAATTGCAGTGCCTTCACTTTGGAACAGAAAATATAACAACATAAACATGATTGTGTACAATGTTTGGAGACATAGTTTAAAGACAGTCTGCAGTTTCCTTAGTGGAAAGAAAATGAGAATGAAACTTTCACTGTCAGTATCATTGTTATCAGATAGAGCTAATGTTATAACATCTCAATAGAAAAAAGCCCACTATACATGATATCCTGGTCAGGTTTGCATGGCATATATTGTAAACATGAATATTTGTTGGCAGAATCCCCCTTACCGGTACTTTATAAAAGATGCCTCTATCTTGGATTAATGATGATAATGAAATAAAGGAGCTGTACCCGCAAGGGTTTGAGAGCATAGATCTAAGTGAGAGTGGGCGTTTGTAGCGCATGTTGGTGCAATAGATGCATGCTTAATGGGCCATTAGGCATGGTGAGTAACATAGGTTCAAGCAAGCTCAAGATAGAAGATTTCTTCAAATGAAAACACAGCCTTAGGCATGGCAGGTGCAGAGGAATTACAAATGTAGTTCAGACCTACACACACACCATAGTGTACCAAGTTGAGAACCAATGCGGTGGAAGAAACACTTTGGAAGAAACACTTAAATGTGGCTGTAAAGAGAATAAGGTTATACTGTGAATGAATGATGGAGGGGGAGGTAGAGAACTGTGTAAGAAAGGGAAAAAATAATAAGTATATGAATAAATAAGAAAAAAAGTGCAAGCAGATATCCTTGTCTGGGGAAATAATAATTGAAGGGATTTGTACAGGTAATGTTTATCTACATGCAAAGTGTGATTTCCATTCTATACATGTATTTTCATCTTAATGGATATTAGGAAGATTTTTGTAAAGAAAATTTAAAGTTTGACAATGAGAAGTACAAAATTAGTAGGAAAACATTAGCAGGGAATTTGCATTGTAATCTCAAAGAAAACTATGTTACAGCTTTTTGTAGCTTATTTAAACCTGTAAATATAGTTTGGATGTATGGTGAGATTAAACAAATTTCATAACAAACCTTTTTTTTACAGGTTGCACAATTGGTACAAGAAAAAGAGCATTTCCTATGAGACACATGTTAGAATTCATATGAAAAAGAGCATTTCCTATGAGACACATGTTAGAATTCACAAGAAAAAGAGCATTTCCTATGAGACACATGTTAAAATTCATATGAAAAAGAGCATTTCCTATGAGACACATGTTAGAATTCAAATGAAAAAGAGCATTTCCTATGAGACACATGTTAGAATTCACAAGAAAAAGAGCATTTCCTATGAGACACATGTTAGAATTCATATGAAAAAGAGCATTTCCTATGAGACACATGTTAGAATTCACATGAAAAAGAGCATTTCCTATGAGACACATCGTCGCTGTTTTCACGAAGTGAAGGTAGTGAAAAAAAATTGCATTCACTTTGCGTTACGATTTTCCTCACTACCGTCACTTCGTGAAAACAAGGACGACATGTTAGAATTCATATGAAAAAGAGCATTTCCTATGAGACACATGTTAGAATTCACAAGAAAAAGAGCATTTCCTATGAGACACATGTTAGAATTCATATGAAAAAGAGCATTTCCTATGAGACACATGTTAGAATCCACATGAAAAAGAGCATTTCCTATGAGACACATGTTAGAATCCACATGAAAAAGAGCATTTCCTATGAGACACATGTTAGAATTCATATGAAAAAGAGCATTTCCTATGAGACACATGTTAGAATTCATATGAAAAAGAGCATTTCCTATGAGACACATGTTAGAATCCACATGAAAAAGAGCATTTCCTATGAGACACATGTTAGAATCCACATGAAAAAGAGCATTTCCTATGAGACACATGTTAGAATTCATATGAAAAAGAGCATTTCCTATGAGACACATGTTAGAATTCATATGAAAAAGAGCATTTCCTATGAGACACATGTTAGAATTCATATTGAGTGGACTTTCCTGATTAACCTTTCACTCTTGATCTACACTGTATCATGTAATGTTGATGCTTCATGTAGCTTGGTATTGATCGACATGTAGGGCGTGTTTGGTGTGCTGATGTTGAGACCTAGAGGCACTGTTTATTGATGAATTTTTCATTTAGTCTAGGTCAAGAGGATTCTATCATACACACTGTGTTCTCAACACACACTTGACATCACTCTGACCTGGTACTAGAAACCTCAGATAAATGAGAATCAAGTATTGTAGTTATACCTTCCTTGTGAGTACTAGTCTCCTTTCATGTTCAATGAACTCACTCTTCCCTATGTGTCAAGATCGTTTCGTTCCTGGCTCGATTTTGTCCAGGATTGAGCAAGATTTTAGGTTGCAATGGGTTTTAAATTATATGTCATTAGGTTAAGGGTCAGGATAATATATAGTTTGTATCCAGGGACCATGTTAGAAAGTTTGACTGTGTTAGAATGTCACTGTGGAGCAATAGTTAACAGAGCAGTATAACCAAAGCACTGATCACTGTCAAGATTTCAAGTGACAAGTCTTACATGTAGGGTGCGTTTATCGGGTCTTGCCACTAGATATGTACATATCGAACCCCACTATCGAATCCCACTATCGAACCCCACTATACGAATGTGATTTTCGGGATGTTGCGTTTATCGTCTCTTCATGATTCAAAATAAAGGCCTTGTCTCTGCGCAGCTGCTTTGCACCCTTTGACCCGGGAAGCAGCCGGGGAAGGTCCGTATTTGTATGTGGGGTTCAAAACAGCTTTGCGTTTATCATGTCTCTGAATCGTGATTCTGGCTGTATGTCACATTCAAAACACACCTTTTTGCATCTTAAGATATGCCCATATCTAAAGACCTTTAAAAAAGGCTTTGCATTTATCACCTTCAAAATTTGCCGGAAAGACGTTTGAGAAACCTGATTCTAGGCAAAAATTTGGTCAATAAACGCACCCATAGAAAATTGATGTTGGATATTTTATAATGTCGTGTTGGACCCTTGTAATAACAGGGTTACAGATTTAACTCTTAATTGTGTCACCTGAATGCTAATTGCCAAATTCTGGGTGATTCACATTCATCTATCTGATACAGATGTGAAAGTGTTAAAAACACTGCTTTGGTTTCAGTTTGATTGTAAAAAATTAATCTCTCTCCTTTAAAGAGCATGTTTGCAAAGACTTATCCACCTGATGTGATTCACTAGCATGGTACATAATCTATGGGTTTTTATGAAAATTACAATGAATTAATATATATATCAAACCAACATGATTACTATTGACGTTACGATAGACTACTGAATTTACACTTGGTGTTATTTCTTGGAGCCTTAAAAAAAAAATCAATTTATATAGGGCTGGTTTTATCTTTCATTTTTTGATTCCTTACTTACAATTTTATCTGATTGTTTAAAATGTTAATTTGCTGTTCTACTGCCCTTCAGAGAGTATTTGTTTCCTCTTCATTATTCATTATTCATTATTCAGAATTGGACATAAAAAGGCCAACAAATTCAAAAAAGGTTTAACTATTGAGACTGAAAAAGTGTTCAAAACACGACTGTAACCTTTAACATTTAGATGCTAAGTGTCTAGCAGGTACTCCTAGATGGGAATATAGTGCTACCACTAGTCATTATAAAAAGGCCAAAGTTGTCCTTTTCCTTTGTATTCATTGGGAGCGCTAATGAGGCGGTTGCTATGATTGATGACATTTATGCTGTTTTTAAAAGAAATTTGAAGTGTTTACAAGTGATGACATTCCAATGGTGTTATTATAGTGAACAGATGTTGGTGGTTGTGTTTGCTTTTCACTTTATTATGTGTAATAAAGTGAATATGGATATGGTTTGGGTTGATATATGACATGTATTTTTCTGTGAAGCATGCAAACATGTGGAAATCTTTGTGGAATGAGACCTATTCTCTGAACAATGATAACATATTAATCTACATTTTTATAATACTTTTTAGATTTTTATCAGTACCTACAAATGTAACAACAATATTATGATAATGATCATAATCAGTAGATTCATGAGTGCACCATCTCCACTCTCTATAGTTTTCCTACCATATGATCACGATGGGGTCTGATGAAAAAATAAAGTCTCAATGGTTGTCAGTATCCTACCGGGTCTTTACTTTTCTCCTGGGAAGAGAGAAGCAAAGTTAGATGAATGCCTTACCAGAGAATATAAGTACGGTGCTTGGGCTTCAATCTCTATCCTTTGCATCTGCAGTCGAGTGTTCAAACTACTTTACTATGGCACCTTGTAGTAGGTTCATGAGATATTGTCCATATAGTAACCAATATTAACTTTTTCTCTGAACTCTTTTACAAATTATGGGATAGACATGTATGGTGTCCTTGAAAAGGCCAAGCACTCAAGTCATTTGGTTGAAATCAAAAGATAATGGAAACAATTTAAGAGGGTAGTGTATTGGGAGGAAAGGGGAAGGAAGGTACCTCCTCACCACCACCTGTTATTGTATACATATTAAAGCAAGAAGAGATGGATTTAAAGAGATGTAGGAAAGACATGTGATATTAATCAGATATGAGCACAGATCAGCTCTTAATATACAACTGTTTCTTACTTACAAATGAACTTAATACATTTCATGTGAGGAGCATTAGTTTACTCTGTCATGGCAGTAACATAGAAATTAAAGTGATTATAATGAAAGAAAGGATCACTGGTAATTACTTTCTGTCACAATTAAAGTGTTGGGTACATTACAAGCTTGTCCCCTCCCCTTGGTATAGAAGATAACTTCCATGCATCTTCCTATGAGAGTGGTTGGTATATCAGTAGTACAAGCTTGTTCCCTCCCCTTGGTATAGAAGATAACTTCCATGCATCTACCTATGAGAGTGGTTGGTATATCAGTAGTACAAGCTTGTCCCCTCCCCTTGGTATAGAAGATAACTTCCATGCATCTACCTATGAGAGTGGATGGTATATCAGTAGTACAAGCTTGTCCCCTCCCCTTGGTATAGAAGATAACTTCCATGCATCTACCTATGAGAGTGGATGGTATATCAGTAGTACAAGTTTGTCCCCTCCCCTTGGTATAGAAGATAACTTCCATGCATCTACCTATGAGAGTGGATGGTATATCAGTAGTACAAGCTTGTCCCCTCCCCTTGGTATAGAAGATAGCTTCCATGCATCTACCTATGAGAGTGGATGGTATATCAGTAGTACAAGTTTGTCTCCTCCCATTGGTATAGAAGATAGCTTCCATGCATCTACCTATGAGAGTGGATGGTATATCAGAAGTACAAGTTTGTCCCCTCCCATTGGTATAGAAGATAGCTTCCATGCATCTACCTATGAGAGTGGATGGTATATCAGTAGTACAAGCTTGTCCCCTCCCCTTGGTATAGAAGATAACTTCCATGCATCTACCTATGAGAGTGGTTGGTATATCAGTAGTACAAGCTTGTCCCCTCCCCTTGGTATAGAAGATAACTTCCATGCATCTACCTATGAGAGTGGATGGTATATCAGTAGTACAAGCTTGTCCCCTCCCCTTGGTATAGAAGATAACTTCCATGCATCTACCTATGAGAGTGGATGGTATATCAGTAGTACAAGTTTGTCCCCTCCCCTTGGTATAGAAGATAATTTCCATGCATCTACCTATGAGAGTGGATGGTATATCAGTAGTACAAGTTTGTCCCATCCCCTTGGTATAGAAGATAGCTTCCATGCATCTACCTATGAGAGTGGATGGTATATCAGTGGTACAAGTTTGTCCCCTCCCCTTGGTATCGAAGATAGCTTCCATGCATCTACCTATGAGAGTGGATGGTATATCAGTAGTACAAGTTTGTCCCCTCCCATTGGTATAGAAGATAGCTTCCATGCATCTACCTATGAGAGTGGATGGTATATCAGTAGTACAAGCTTGTCCCCTCCCCTTGGTATAGAAGATAACTTCCATGCATCTACCTATGAAAGTGGATGGTATATCAGAAGTACAAGCTTGTCCCCTCCCCTTGGTATAGAAGATAGCTTCCATGCATCTACCTATGAGAGTGGATGGTATATCAGTAGTACAAGTTTGTCCCCTCCCATTGGTATAGAAGATAACTTCCATGCATCTACCTATGAGAGTGGATGGTATATCAGTGGTACAAGTTTGTCCCCTCCCCTTGGTATCGAAGATAGCTTCCATGCATCTACCTATGAGAGTGGATGGTATATCAGTAGTACAAGTTTGTCCCATCCCCTTGGTATAGAAGATAGCTTATATGCATCTACCTATGAGAGTGGATGGTATATCAGTAGTAAGTGGTTGGCTGTGTCCTAGCTCAGATCATGGTTCTGCCTAGCTTACTTTCACTTCTCCTCAAATACCAAAAGGTCAGACCAGCTGAAAGGCAATAATTCCGACAAGATTGATTAATTTCATCTGCCCACGCTCTCCCTCTATCTCTCTTTCTCTCTCACTCTCATCCTGTTAAGAGATCATTCTCTAGGATTAAAATTGGAGGGAAAACAGTGGTGAAATAGGTTTTGGGCTCCCCTTCACAATAGTTGTTGGAGCAATAAAATATAGATTGTATTTATTGAAGATTTATCGATGACGAAAAGATTGGTGGGAGTCAGAGAAAATATGTTGGGAGTCAAATTTCATTGTTAGTAGTACTGCTTCAATCTAACCAACGTCTGAGACTATTTTTGGTGCTGAAAAATAGCAATAAGTTTTGATTCTTATTGCAATATGTTATCTGAAACTAGACACCAGCAATGTGGGTTTTTATATATCATATCACAAACCCTCTGATTTGTTTAATGATCATTGCACTCCTTGTTTGATCAATTATTCTGTATTTCTTAGGAAACTAGGCTTATAATAACATATTTATGATTACATACATGTTTATTGCATACCATTATTTATTAATAGAACAAATTCAATCATCTAGGAGATCGGTTGGGATTGATTTTTAGTTTGTACAAATTTGAGACAGACAGAGCAAGTATTGTTGGTTGTCCCATACACTCCCCTACATGTACTTCTAAGGTTGTGGTATTCCTGATTATGGTATAAGGTGACTAGCCAGTAGCCACACCTTAAGTGGGAATGCACTACAATAAATGAGAAAGAAAATGTTACTTTCAATTCCTTGCTGTGTTTTTCCTGATTTCCTGTTCAACTTGCAGACATATGCCCCCAAGAAAAGGGAATTTATGCTTCTGACATACGATCTCTTCATGATTTCATTTTGTTACCCACCCCTGCATTAAGATGTGTTGCCATATTGCTTGTCATTGTAAATGATATATGACTGCTAGGTAATGTGTGGGGAAGGGTTTATGTGCAAGTGTGTAGTGTATGAGGGAGGGTTTATGTGCAAGTGTGTATGAGTGTGTGGGGGAGGGTTTATGTGCAAGTGTGTATGAGTGTGTGTAAGCGTGCAATTAGCATTTATATTGAGCTGAAATCTCATACCATCAATCTTCCATGCCCATGCAGTGACAGGTTTTTTTAAACATAATCTGTGCCTCAGGTAAACAGATATGTATTGAAAACAAGCTTTACTTTCTTTATTTGACATTTCCTATGAATTATTTGGATTTCTTTCCAGAAATTTGTTAGCTTGTTTTTTCAAAGGACTTTAGATTATTTCAGGGCTAAGGACATATATATATAATGAATCGCCACTTGTGATTCATTTCCCAAATCTTGTCATCGGAAAGTATGCTTTACATTGACAATTATGAGTGTAGATGTAGATGAGATAGACTGAGATTTATTATTCAAATGTTAAGAAAGAAAGACATATTCAAGGAAGAAACATTCATTCACTTCTATCATAAACCCAGTTGTGTGAGATGTAATAATAACAACAATTATGAATTTCTTTTCGTTTTACAGGTCTTGAATTCTTTGAGACGAGTGCAAAGGAGAACATCAATGTTAAACAGACATTTGAGAGGCTGGTTGATATCATATGTGATAAGATGTCAGAGACGATTGATACAGATCAGACTCTTAGACCTTCCACAACCATCACACCAACAGATCCTGGACAGCAACAAGCTAGCTCGTCATGTTCATGCTAAGATGGTTTGATGGGGTAGGAGGGGAGGGGAGGGGAGGGGTAAGGACTGGAGGAATGGAGGGATGTAAGGTTGGAATGGGGGTTAAGTAGATGTACATGGAATGAATGGAGAGAGGTTTATAGAAAAAAGAGATTTCTACATGAAGAATAAAGTGTTGGAAAGTCAAACAAAATATATTTGAGTATGTCATCAATCTCATTTGCTCTCTTAAAAGAAATGAAATGCAAAGTAAATACATGTTACTTTAAGTAAATGTCCATGACAGGTTTATTGCATTTATTCAAAATTGTAAATGATACTATACTCTTTATTCCTATAGTGTTACCATTGATTAATGGTAGTAATATCAGAAGAAATTGAATGATAAACATGTTATTTGAATGGAGAATAGACACGAGGATGGCTATAATGAGGAATGTAAGAGAATGATTGTGTGTATGTGATGGTAGGATGAGATGAGTTGCATTACCATGTATGTCTTTGCCATGATTGTAGAATTCAGTTCTATTCCCTTATCTTCTATTCCTCGTTACTTTCCTAGTGGTCTCTAAGACAGTATAACACATCTTCTATTACACTCATTGCTTGTAGTTGCAATTCAAAATGCTGTATGTGTAGAATAAGATGAATCAGTTCCCACTCTATAGTGTGTATATGCTCGATGATATCAGCACAATCTGCCATGCACTACCCTCTTACACCTGATTGACTGTGGTACACCAATATAATATCATTCATTGCAAGTGTTCTTTTTCATGGTTGTCTTTCTATTCAGAACATGCTTAGCATTTGCAGTCAATGGGTGTAATGCATTAGGGGGCTCTGTTCAACCTGCATGTACATATACACTTCTGTATGTAAAACACAGATAACAAATCAATTGAAATCCTTTGTGATCATTAATGTATGTTTGACTGTGATGGTAATTTTTTTTATTAATTTAAAAGCGAAGTCCGGACAAATGGACTGCTGAATGAAATGACATGAATGAACCCCCCCCCCCCCCAGTCAAGTATGCCCATTGTTAAACATGAACCATGAGAAAAGGTTTCAAGCATTATTGTGTCAATCCATCTTTTCCAACATGAGCCTCCATCATTGATATTCCAATATTACATAACAAACTTAGTGTGAGAACTACATGTATTGTTGGTTGATGGGTTGAATGTGAAGAAAATGATAGCCATATACAACTCACACAACTGGGCCAAATAACATGAAATACTTACTTTCAGATTCCTCTGTGCGCTTTAGAAGGATCAAGAAACTCTTCTGACATTTCAAAAGTAATCCACATGAAATAAAGCTGCCCTAGATGACCATTATTATGCTGATATTGCAAGGATGTTATTATAGATTTTGAATATAGTTTGGTTTCATGTAGAAGTGAGTATTTCAGTGTCATATAAAAATGAAAAGAACACTACATAAGGGTCAAGAAGTTATCCATTGGTTGCTTGCCAAAGGCATTATTTGTTTTATGTCCCTCTAAGTAGCATGCCAAATAAAGAATATAAATGTTTACTTTGTTTAAAGAAGGATGAGTAGAAAAAATGGAGAATTAATAATTCCTTTAATTTTAAATTACATCCTACTCATTGTAGCTTTTTTAGTTTTAATGGTTTAAACAATGGCTAATTTCAATTTCATATCGAAAATTGATGTTCAAGTAACGAGCAATATGTAATGTTAAGAAGTGTAGATATGATACATTTCAGGCTTTGATGATACTATGTGAACAAAAAATAACAATGATTTTTAACAGATACGTGTACTGTCAGCAAGGAATTCTGAAGATAAATTGGTACTTGAGAATATTTTGATTTTCAAGTTATCATACCTATGCAATCAAAATGAGACAGAGAACTGTTAAAAGTGCAGGGCATACTTAGGAAATAGACTCACTTTGATTTCAATAAAATGAGGTAACATTTAGTTACAATTTTGTCAGTATGATTATAAAACCATATGATAATATGAATTGTTTATTTGTAATTGTTGATATCACTGCTGAGAGCTTACTGCCCTTCAGGCTCAAAGTAGTTGATATGATATTCAGTCATATATACAATGATATCCTGAAGCATGACAATCTAGTTTGAGGATTAATCTGTCGTATTATCTTACTATATTGTTTCTTCAGTGGATTTTAATTTGTTAGCAACTTGGAATTTTATTGGGACCATGTTTGAACAAGTGAACTAACATTCTTTCTAAATCAGTTATTTCAAAACATATTTTCTCTTCTAGATATTACACAATATTTATTGTAATGTAGGTGTTTGAAAGAGTATACGTTGTAATTTCAACACAAATATATGGAGTACATTGTTTTAAACAGTAAGCAAACCACTTTGTATATATTTCTGGGATTTCTTTGGTTAGTTTATCTAGGTTTCCATCAGTAAAAAGCATCCAATGTGTGCTTGTACTTAAAAACAGGTTGCTGAAAATATTTATGTAATATCTGGGTCAAGGTGATGAGGTCTTTCTGTAATGTGTCATAATAAGTCTTTATTTGTTGTTCTGGTTTAGTGAAAAACCCTAGTTTGTATTTGTTTATTTCCTTTATTTGGTTTAGAACCTTTTTAGAAATCCCACCATTCAACATTGATGTGCAATATGTCATACATAGATATATGTTTGTTGGTATTTATACATTGTACACATATTCATATGTGCTTTCTTTCTCTCTCTGCCTGTCTGTCATCATATGTGATAAATTTCAAGCTTTACTTCGTATCTTCAATTTAAATATTTCAATTGAGAATTTATTTACTTCATATGAAAAAGGAAATAACACCTGTGTACTTGCACATGTAGTATAAAGATACAATGAACATGTTGTTTTCATGGGGGCCGCCATTTTGCCCTTTTAAGGGAGGGGGGGGGGCAGTATTTTGTCTAATGTCCTATGGCTGTGAAAGCATATCTGTGGCGCCATTGCGTTGCGCCATTACCGCTCCCCTCTTGCTTGCATGATTAAATCACCCTCTGTTGCCATAGAAACACTGACGTCAGAATGGTCTCTTGAGGAAAGCAGGCTCGTAGTGGCCACAGCGCCTAGCATGTGATATGATACTGTGTGAATCAAATGAGCTTTATACGGCTGCATGTATTAAGGCGTGCAACACTTGCTCAGGAAACACTGACAATGCTTGAGCAATATGTAATGTCCGCCAAAATTCAATTCCAAGGCCATGTGCAAAGCAATTTTCTGTATTTTATTAAAAGACATGAACCTAGGCTTTCTAGCGAGTGCTTGGGTGAAATATAAAAAGCAGTAGAATATGTGGCATCGTATCTAAAAATGCTTTTGAGATAACCATGATTAGTGGATTTTTCAAGGCGGCAGAATCGACTGCGCCTAAATTGGGATGTTGTCTGCATATAAATTGAGTACAAACACGTATAGATGTTGATATTTTCATGCTTGATGCTTTTTTGATTTGGCCAATGGGCCTGACGATATAATGCCTAGCTCTGCCATGATTATTTCATGTATGTATTCTTTTGGACTCATTAGAGACATCGGGCATTTGTTAGCTTGTAAAAATAGCGCGAATTCAAGGACACGCGTATGAACATAAAAAGTGAAATATTTGTTGTGTATATTATATTGCCACTCAATTATTTACACTGTTGTGTTTCCTTGGCGCTAAGTGATGTGATTCCATCTTGTAATGGTGTCCATATCACATTGTAAATCAACAGTTTAGACATGTTATAGAAATAGAAACAATCTTTTTCCTCAAAATTTCTCTTATACATATTAAAATAAAATTATTGATAGTTTATGTAACAGGCATGGTATCTATTATATTTATTTATCTTTTTATCACTTTTTTATTTTATTTTTTATTAATTAATTAATTTATTAATTCGTTATTTTTTATTCATTAATCTGTTTACCTATTTCATTTTTGTCTCTGTTAACATCATGCTCATTAACCCCCTTGACAATGGTGTCCTACATTGTATAGTGATTGTATGTTTAGACTTGTTAAGGCTTGTGGATTCGGGTTACTTCATTTGCATATCTGTAATAGAATCATTTGCAATATGTTTGCCGTCCATTCTATATCGCTTGAAATGGACTCGACATTGTGAAAGAATAATTGTCACGTGGTTATCTTTTCCCGGTCAATGAAAGATACATCTTCGATGATAACCTGTTATAGTAAGACGAAATAGGTATTGTAATTTTTACTTTTTTGTACACCATTCCATTTCTCTAATAAGGTAGATGTACTTCTTTTTAGTACAAATATGTATGTAGAGTTTTCCTTTTTCCTTTTTTTATTTTATTTGATTAGATCTAATGTAGAATTATTAAAAATGACATACAGTTATTGGTATTAACAAAGCCAAGTTATATATTGGTGTTTAATCTCTTTTATTTTGCAATGGGATTGTGAACTTAGCGTAGTAGAGTAGCAAGGTTCAAGATTTTCCAACGTTACATTGTTATATTAATTCATGGTTATCCCTGCCTCGTAGAATATGAAGAACATGTATTCCTAAAGATTTTGTAGACATACCCAAATTCCATTCCATATTGATGTTTGTTAACCTAAATGAATAAGTGGCGTTTGTATATTGTGGTGACAGTGAAATTATTACTATATTGTTATTACTATCAAGTAGCTATGGAGATATCGGTATATTTAATAAAAGCAACCATTATTGACAAAAAATGAACGTGCTTGCGTCCACTGTCTGTAAAGTCTCTAAGGCTTATAAGGTTTGGTGTAATTAGATGCAATTGATCACGTGTGAGGAATATAAAGGCTGTGTGACAAGATAATATGTATATCTCCTTGGAATACTGATTCGCCCTCGACATATCCATACCACCTAATGGATCGTGTGAGAAAAGACATAGACATACATACAGGGACGAGGTAAATATGAGAGAAAATGACGCACATGAATTATGATTTGGATGGTTTATTTCTCCATTCGATCAAAACGTGTGTGGCTTATTAAGACTGGTTTCTGTTAAAATAAAATTACGGTTAATCAATTGCAGCACAAGTAAGAGTGCTAAAATATGAACAAGACAACTAAAGCGAGGGACAGACAAAATGTGTGAGAGGGGGGAGAGAAAGTGTGTGTGAGAGAGAGAGAGAAAGAGAGAGACATACAGAGGACGGGCAGACAAAGGACGACGAGCTGTCATGAAGCGCCAACCGGTATGCATTTTCACCGAAGCTAGGTTAAAGAAAGGGTAATAAGCATAATGTTCGGCCTTTTAAATCGGGAAAAAACATCTTTATAAATCAAATTCTCATTTACTACTATTCTTACCAGGATAATTTCTACCAATACTAGACATATCCGTAATATTGGTCCCACACTAAAACCCCAACTTTAAAGAAATCAAGTGGGTTCGTTGGATTTGAGAATTGAAGTGTTAACAAAATGTCTTGAAAACATAATTAAGAGTAATGTTTATACAAGTTGTATGAATGGTAATATAGAAATTGAGGGGTATTGCCTCGTAGGAAAAAGCGTTCTAGTGACCGGAAAAAGGATCGATCGGTTACGACTCATGGACAGTGGAAGATTCGTTCCATGTGGATAACTTAGTAAAGTTTATTTAACCATAAAATGAAACATGTACATACAAATGAGTAACATAGTAAACATAATAGGGTAAAGGACACCCTTAGAAGCAAATTGCTTGTGGTGGGGCCTTAAAAAGAAAAAACAAACTACACATAAATTATACAGATTAAAAACTTTAAAATAACATGATACAGACACACATGCACGCTCACACATATACATGCACACATACATTCAAAATATCCTCCTCTGCTCAAACTTGTTTACATAAATCATTAAATAATAACTGTGTACATCGAACTTTAAATCGAGATAGAGTTGTACTTTCCTTAATATCATTACTCAAATTATTCCATTCCTTAATGCCATTTAAATAGAAAGAATTTTGTGCATTTGTCGTACGAACTTTAAATAAATGTAAATCATTTTTCTGACGAGTAGAATACGAGCGAATATCACTATTAATAACAAAGTTTATATTAGGAATTTCTGGCAATAGGCGATTTTGAAATTTAAACATAAATATGCGAGTATTAAATTGAATCAATTCAAAAATTGGGACTACGTGTGTTTTAACAACTTGGTTTCAAGTTTAATTTGTTCATTCCAAGAAAAGCTATTCGGAGGATTTCTATCATCATTGGACAACAATAGCTCACCACGAAGTTCATTTTCTTAGACGACGACTCTGCTTTTAGTTTAGTTTTTTTCTCTACCTTTCAGATGTAGTGAATTTTTTTTCCCTCAACATATCTTAGACACATCTAAGTACTGTTTTCCAGAGAACGATGAATGATGCTGCATCTAATTATAGTTCTTTTCGTACCTCATCTCTCCCGCCATTTTTGTCCGTCTGTGTAAACATACGTCACATTAATCGTTTTATCCGCAACCAATATCAATCTAAACCAAGACTCATCACGAATCCTTCACTCTCTTATCTCAAAGCTCAAATTCCTTTACCCTCAATATGACCATGGGCAAAACATTGACAGGGTCTGTTGTCTGTAACCCGGTTATCAGCTTTCATACTCGAGAATTTAGCACGCAAAACGAGTGAGCGATAAAAAAAAAAAAAAAAATATTTTATAATATTCATAATGTAAGCTGCCCGTGGTAGGCCTACATTAAACCCATTTGTCGCATGTTAATGTGACGTAAGGCAAGATGTGACACATTATAGAAGAACCATTCCACTGCCGGAATACAAAGTCCTTGTTACCCCTTTCTTTGGATATTTTAACATTATCGGGAGGAGGCTCGTAGTCCTATCTGCCTATGGGTATGAACTCGTCGTTCAAGATGTTATTTCATGATATTCTTCTGTGAAAGTTGTCATTTAAAAAAAACTATTCTCTTTTGCATTGTTCTCATGAATGCAGTAAATATGCTTTGTGATTCAACAAAACAATATTGTACCTCGGCGTTTGAAAGTGTAAATGTTGAGGTTTGATACATTTGAATGTATTCATTTACATTGTAATCTAGCAACTAACTATCAATCATTTTAAATGATTTAATGTAGGAAGTGATGTATAATTTTCTTTCATATAATATCTGCAGTAGGAAAGTCGTTGCCCTTATAATTACGTTCTAATATCGGGATTTACAATACATTAAAAACACTTTCAAAACACTTTATAACATACATGTATATCAATTTCCTTATTTTTCTTCACACAAAATGTTCCTTTTTTCCTATGTTAATTCATCAAATTACGTTTAATGTGCTACTATGTAATATATGAGTTCAGAAATTAAAAAATCTTGAGAAAGAAAAAAAAGATCTAAATTCAACAATCCAATACAAAAATTGTTTTTAAAAAAACATCGGGATTTACTATTCCTAAATTAGAACTGTTACGTCTCTGTTCAAATAGCGTATCGTATATTACCAGCAAATATCATTAAAATTGTACACATTTTGTAAACTGAAACAGTATAGGTAAATAATCCCAAGCTTTCCTCAGAAATTCCCCCTCCCGCCCATAACATTAAAGCAACCCACTTTAACTTTTCACTTTTAGTACCGACAATGCATAAAATCAACCTGGTATTATAAAAACCTTTAGTACAAATAACTGATAAAACATTATTGGTTAAACTATAGCCCACACGATAGATTTTTGTTGTTCGTATATTTATGTAGTAAATTGTTATAAAGACCCAATGGTTTCACTAAATCTTCAAAAAAGGCTAACAGAAACGTTTGTCGTGACATCACTAACATTAAATACCCCGCGAGAGATTTTAATGTATAATTTTACAATCAGTAACATTTTCTAAAATATCTCAAAATTCACTCGCTCTAGACAAAAGATGATCCAGACATCCTTGATCACAGTACAATTAGCTTTAAACTCATATAACTTCTAATAGAAGCTGATCTGTAAGTAATCAAACTAGTGTTAGGTCTATCAACGATTGGACTTTCATCGGCTAATTTGGAGTTCACTTTGCCATGACATTAGACGAGTGATCAGTCGAAGAATTGCCCTTTACCACTTCTACTTGAAGGGCCTCTCATTTTCACGCATCAATTTTAAATGGCTGACTTTGAGTATAATTATTTCACTTTCTCTCACATTAAAGGCATTGTTCAACAATGTTTCCAGTTTTACACATCTGATATGCATGGCCCTACATGTTATCAGTATAATGTGATATGGTGTTATATTGAAGCCCTTAAAAAAAGTTGCGCTTCAAATTGTTCATGAAGTGTTTTTCAAAAAAGTAAACAAATCTTTGAGTGACCGATTTTACCATAGTCATTTTCCCCATTAGACTGTAGTGTTATAAAAACCGTTGGGAAAACAGAAAATTTGATTTCGATTACCAATCATAACTATTTTGATAATCAGACAGGCGATCGGCTTGTAAAACTAAGTCATGGGACTACTGACTGACCTAAAGGTTTGTAATTATGATTGCAGCATGAGCTAAATCCTGGATTTTTTAAAGAATCTGAGGCAAAGATACCCAATCCCTTTAAGATATCGTTGCTGTGAATGCATGGGTGCATACTGAGGAAATGGAGAAGGTTTATACACACCTGTATTATGAACATAAGAGGAGAACTTGACAATGAATTAAATAATCTGCAAATGATGTTAGAAAACGCAAATTATGAAAGTCTGTGTTGGAAGTTACATATATGAAAGATTGATATAAATAAAAACTAGAAGAAGGAAATAGGGAGGGGACGATGATGAAAGTGGAAAAAAGGAGAATGCAAAAGTGAAATGAGGAGCAACATAATAATAGGACGGAAATGACAATGATAGAGAAAGAGAGGGAGAGAGCCAGATTGAGAAAAAAATGATTAGGGAAATAGTTGAATGGGGGAGAGAGAGAGAGAGAGAGAGAGAGAGAGAGAAGGGGGAGGAGAGAAATGAGAGAAGGATGAAAAAGGGGAAACAGGGACTGAGGGAGAAATAGAATGGAAGAAAGAAATAGAGAATGAGAGAGAGAGAGAGAGAGAGAGAGAGAGAGAGAGAGAGAGTGAGAGGGGGAGCAGTAAGAGAAGGAGATAGATAAATTGACAGATGGATAGAAAGATAAACATACAGAGAGACGGATGGATTTAAAAAGATAGAGATGGATTTGGAGATCGAGAGAGCGATAGAGATAGAGAGAGATATGAAGATAGAGAGAGAGAGAGAGAGAGAGAGAGAGAGAAGAAGAAGAAGAAGAAGAATAAGAAGAGGAAGAAGGGACCGATTGGTGGGTGAATGTACTACGTGCTTTGGATGCTATAGTTATCAACCCATTACAAAAATCATAATCAGTAGGAAAGAAAAGGTAAAAGATTTGTTTAAAGTTATCAAAGGGAAAGAATGCTCATGATGATAGAAAAGGATATTTGTTGGACTACAAAATTAAAATAATATATATATATATATATATATATATATATATATATATATATATATATATGATATACATATACATAAAAGACATATATAGGGTAGATATATAGAGAGAGGGAGAGAGAGAGAGAGAGGGGAGACGGGGATAGAGACAGAGAGAGAGAGAGAGAAGAAAAGAGAGAGAGAGAGAGAGAGATATAGAGAGGAGGATAGAGACAGACAAAAAAGAGATAGAGAAAGAATATTTATCACTTATCTGTT